CACTATAGCGTTCAGGGACCAATTGACTGTAAGGCAGCCACGTCGACCACAAGGCAGTACAAAAATTTAATAATAATAATGGTAATTTTAATAATAGTAATAATAAGGAAGGTTAGAATGAAATAAAATAAGATAGTCATATGATGACTAGGTTGGTTAGTTAGTGTTAAAAGAAATAGGTGGGGTGAAGGGAACTTAAATCTTAGGGAGGGGGCTGAATATTTGATTGATATAAGGAGGTTAGTATGGGTTGGTCTGAGGTGGTTGCCATTGATTTTAGGTTAATGATCAATAAAAAGCTACCGATATCTGTCTTGAATTTGACTGGCAATAATAGCAGACTGACACAATAGTAAAGGTCAAAATAATTTAATGCTATGAAAACTTGACCAAGTTATTTTGACAACACGGTAAATAATGAAATTATTGCAAAGTATAAACGAAAGAAAAATTCTCCTTCTCCAATATTAGCTTAATTCAAATAATGGAACTTTCCACTATGTAAAATTGACAGTAATTCGTTTTAAATGATAGATATTTAATGTTGGATAAAAAAAATGCAGCTAACGGTTTTTTGTGTTCCTAGCTTGCTCGTTCAAAAAGAGTCACTTTTTGGTCTGAATCAAAATGAAACCAAATGTTTGATTTTGATTCAACATTCAGGTTCACGATGAGATCCATTTTTCTATCTCGTTTTTTTCCCTTTCTTTGTAGTTGCCCAAAGTTGTGAAGTGAGGATCTAATCAGTGATACGATGCGAAGAACAGCCATTAATTGCTAAGGCAAAATGTCATGTCGAGCTTAAAGGTGTCTTGATCGCTAATCCGTTTCTTCCAGAAAGTGAGTTCCATGTCTTACGGCCTGGAGGAAAGTGGGTAAAAAGCAACACCATTTACTAGAAGTAAGTAGACTTCTTTTTTCTATCATTCTGTTTCTGGTCAGGCGTCGGATATTGGCATTGAAGATGTTTAATTTCTTGCTAATTAGTAGTTCATTACAGCCAGAGAACCTGCTTTAAGCGATAGTATATATTTAAGAATTGGAATGGAAAAGAAATTTACTTGGAAAGAATAGTATATCTAGAAAAAAAGAGAAGCAACTTGGTTAAAAGTGTAAATGGAAAAGGAATTAAATAACGAGGATATAAATCAGATGCTAAAAAACCTACTGAAAATTTTACAGTTTTGTTTAAAATTTTTGTATTCGCATGTAAGAAAAATCGTTTATGATGTTTACGCAGAAATTCAATATCCATTTATACTGTAAAAAAATTGTGTTCATCATATATAGTAAACTAATCAAAAATGGAAATAAATCAACTTTAATCATGGTGCAATTTTGTAAGTATATAAAATCACTTAAATCCATCATATTTCAAAATTTATATTTTTCCAATTTAATATTCAGAATTTTCCTGATTAAGCAGTATTCTGAAATTGGAAAAAAAATTCGTAAGAATATAATCTGACTAAAAAACTTCAGCTCAACATCAAATGAGAAGAAAAATGAAATAAAATAAAAAGTGGGCTATAAAACTTTAAGAGAAAGGGAATGGGATGCAAATAGCTACCCGGTCCGCTTGGCGAAGGATAGGGTCAGACACATCCCTGCAGAGTCTTAAATAACTGACGGTGTGTTACCCAAGTGAAATGTGGTAAGTAGAAAGGATAAAGTGATTTTGCCATTGTGTTTGGTATAGGTGGCCGTGAGTGGAACACATCACAGAAAGAGAAACAGAGAGAGAAAGAAAAATGAAGACCCGGGGGTAGAAGACAGGAACGTCGACACTATGGCTCGTATATAAGACAAGAGTTATTGATTCAGTGACAATCACTTCTTGAATAATTTAGCGGCTTGAAAATTTTCCAAAGATGGCTATCCCATCAGCCCTTGCAGCAGATTTCCAGGTCGTAACTTTACATTTACGCGGTCTTGATAATGAGATTTGTTACACATCTGAGTCTCATCAGAGGATGAGGTAAAATGTAACATCTAGATTTGATATCACTTCTGAGGAGCATCTAAAGTGATAGCAAATAACCAGTAGTTATGCAATGGGGATTCTGGCTCATTTTTGAGACAATCTTGATTGTAAACGTAACTCATGAAGACAACCTCGAAATCAAGGTTGCCTTTCTGTCAACCTTGATTTCAAAGCACTGGTGTGGCTCACTTTTTGAAATTCCTCGATTTGAAGGAAACTCAGTGCAGACAACCTTGAAATCAAAGGTTCTGGGAAATTTTGAATTTTACAAGTACGCTGTATGAAATTCAAAGTTATGCCTTTTCTCGTGACGCCTGAATTTCACTTCAACACTTCTGAAATTCTTTGCGCACACAAGCACGATTTATAGTTTCATAAAACAGGATCGACACTTATATTGCATCTTCCTATGAAGAATGCGTGGTATGCCTTGATTTGTTCTTCTGTAAAAACAGCGCCATTGTAACTGAAAAGAATTTGACGATCTGAGTGAAATCCCTTGTGAAAATTACCACTATCTGGTTTTTTAACTTTTCCCCATACATATGGCAGAGATGAAATTGTTCATTCTGTATTAAAGTTTGCAATTTTTTTCAGGTACACCAGAACGTAGATTTATTTGTTTTTATTTCTTTTTCTAGTGAGGCTCCACTAATCCAGTGGCAGATGATAATTTTCCACTTTCTTCCTTGTGTTAAGTAGGCTTTTGTCCTGAGTCCTGCCATGGTTGAACATCAGTGATATTATCATAATGATTATCTGTTTCATGATTGTGTCTTTGTAATTTATAATTTTTTTTTCTCCAATAACAATTGTGATCTTGTCCTTGTTCCACCAATAGCAACATCTCCGTATTTTTCAAGAGAAATGAAGAGGCCTCACTTTTTTAATGGTTTTCTTTTTTTTTTTTAAGTCAACGAGTTCCCTCGGGAGGCAGCTCCGATTCAGGGGGGGACAACCTGAAGCTCTTCTCTGACGAATCCACGCTTTAGTCCATCTTTTAGATGGTAGAGAACAGGCTCACCTTCATGCATATAAAAAATATTTTCAACTGCGAT